GGGGGGTTTTGGGGGGATTTTGTGAAGATTTACGGGGTCAGGGACGTTTTGGGGGGGATTTGGGGTCTGGGGGGGCTACAGGGGAGTTCCATCATTAAGCCACGCCCACACCACGCCCTTTTAGGCCCCTCCTCTTCCCAGGGGTCAATGGGAGAATTCCACAATTAAGCCACGCCCCTTTACCACGCCCTTTTAGGCCCCGCCCCCACCCCGGCTCAATGGGGGGGCTACAGGGACATTCCAGCGTTAAGCCACGCCCACACCACGCCCCTGTCACGCCCCTTCCCCCCCGGGCTGCAATGAGGGGCTATAGGGGCGGTCTGGTTTTAAGCCACGCCCCCCTGCCACGCCCTTGTAAGCCCCGCCCATCGCCCCCTATCCCCGGCGGCCGCCCCGGAGCCGCGTCCCGAGCGATGGCGGCGAACCGGGTGGGGCGGCGGCAGGGCCGGGGGGCGGCCCCGGGCCCGGGGGGGCTCTCACCGGGCCGGGGGTCCCCGGGGGGGCTCTCGCCGGGTCGGGGGGCGTCCCCGGGGGGGCTCTCGCCGGGCCGGGGGGCGTCCCCGGGCCGCAGCCCCGGTGTGCAGCGGCGATCGGCGCGGGTCACGGTCAAGTACAACCGGCAGGAGCTGCAGCGGCGGCTGGACACCGAGCAGTGGATCGACGGCAGGCTCGGGGAGCTCTACCGGGGACGGGTACCGGAACCGGGACCGGGAACCGGGGATGGGGATCGGGAACCGGGGATGGACCGGGAATGGGGCAGGGGAACCGGGAATGGGGCAGGGGAACCGGGATCGGCACCGGCACCGAGCAGTGGATCGACGGCAGGCTCGGGGAGCTCTACCGGGGACGGGTAACGGGACCGGGAACCGGGGATGGACCGGGAACTGGAGATGGGGCAGGGAAATGGGAACGGGACCGGGAAGGGACCGGGAACACGACTGGGCAATAAGGGAGCTCTGCCGGGGATGGGGACGGGGACCGGGAGCGGGGACTGGAGCGGGGACGGGAATGGGGATGGAGGCTCGGGAAACGGGACAAGGGAATGGGAACGGGACCGGGATGGAGGAGTGGGGAGGGTACCGGGGTGGGGCACCGGGAAGCGGGATGGGGACCGGAGCGGGACTGGGAAATGGACCGGGAACGGGACCGGGACTGGGAACCGGAGCCAGGACCAGGACCGGGAGATGGACCAGGGACCGGGACTGGGACCGGGACAGGGACTGGGATGGGGAACGGGAACTGGGCAGAGAGTGGGACCGGGAACGGAACTGGGAACGGGACCGGGACCAGGGAAAGGAAAAACGGGATCGGCACCGGGAATGGGAGAGGGAGCGGGAGCGGGAGGAGGAACCGGGACCGGGACCGGGACAGGGACAGGGACAGGGACAGGGACAGGGACTGGGATGGGATCCGGACCAAGGACCGGGAATGGGACTGGGACTGGGAAAGGGATGGGAACCGGGACCGGGATGGG